AGTAGTAGTAGTAGTAGTAGTAGTAGTAGTAGTAGTAGTAGTAGTAGTAGTAGTAGTAGTAGTAGTAGTAGTAGTAGTAGTAGTAGTAGTAGTAGTAGTAGTAGTAGTAGTAGAAGTAGTAGTAGTAGTAGTAGAAGTAGTAGTAGTAGTAGTAGTAGTAGTAGTAGTAGTAGTAGTAGTAGTAGTAGTAGTAGTAGTAGTAGTAGTAGTAGTAGTAGTAGTAGTAGTAGTAGTAGTAGTAGTAGTAGTAGTAGTAGTAGTAGTAGTAGTAGTAGTAGTAGTAGTAGTAGTAGTAGTAGTAGTAGTAGTAGTAGTAGCTGTAGTAGTAGTAATAGTAGTGGTAGTAGTAGTAGTAGTGGTAGTAGTAGTAGTAGTAGTAGTAATAGTAGTAGTGGTAGTAGAAGTAGTTGTTGTTGATGTTTTTGATGATGATGATGATGATGATGATGATACGACAAATTCCTAGTCATTCCTCACCGTACCTTATACAGACACCGACAACACTGGACACTTACACTTTACTTCTACAACCTGCCAACAGCAAAGAAACAATACCACCTCACGGGACAAGCTCATGGCACAGACATTGTAAAGTAACATACATCATACGATTATTAAGAAATGGAAAGTTTTTGAAAATCTAAATCATGCTTACCATTTCTTTTGTATTTCTTCCTTATAAATATATACAATTTGCACTTTGTTGGTCTGTTTTTTTCAAATTTCAGATGTTTTTACCAGTCTGAATATTTTATAGGACACCATGAATGATGCATTATGTAACATTCCATTTTGTTTCAAAAACGCAAGATCTCGTAAATAATGTATATCAAACCTTGAACTTTACAGCATCAAACATACCAAACTTGCTACTTAGAACACGTATTCGTCACATGTCAGAACAGCCAATATTAGTTATAGATTTAGAGTAAAACAAGGATAAGTCGAGGTCGACGAGACCAAATGAAATATTCGACTTATCCAATGACTTAGCCGTGTTTCTATGAACGGAGGCATTGTCTAATGAAGATTGGCCCTATTTTCATAGATTGTTTACGTGTCTCAAATCATGGCGTGACAGCAATAAATAAATGATTAATAAATAAAATCATTAACTATTTTTATACGATAACGGCATCTTTTATTTGAATAAACATTTATAACTACGAATATAAAACTTTTAAAGGACAGGACTCCATTTCATCAATGAAATCAATTAAATCAATATTTTGAAAAAAAGATACATTTTCACATACAATAGCTTGATTCAACGTTTAATAATTTTAAATAAATACATTTTATAATGTCAAAATCTGTTATTGTATTTGAAAGATATCACTTCTAACGATAAGCTATTTTTCGTCCGAGATGAACTCCTAATTTGCCACTCCATTCATGATCAAAGATCAAATCAGGATATTAATTGGTGAATTCCGGTTTCTTTTATTATCTTTTACCTTTCCCGTCGCTTTTACAAACGTTAGACTCTTCAGTTACAAAGAAATACTATCGCTCAGTTCCTATTAAACTCTTAAGTTCATTTTAAACATTAATTTTTATCAAAAGGCATCATCCGATTGATATCAAATGTATCATTTGAGATTTTATTCGATAAACTTTCAAAGGTGCCAAAAACAGATTCAAAGATTATTTTGATAATTTATGGTAAAAAGAAAAATTCAATAATTAAATTTCACAAAATTTCAATTCTGCACAAAGTTCAAGCAGACGGGATGTTAGCAAAGAGGTATCTATTCTACAAAGGAAAACTTTAAAAGGAACTTTTGAATAAGTCAAACTTTTGCTTGTGTGGTAATACCGAGATTGAATATCATGACGCTTTTATTGAAAATAGATACAGTTGAAGATCGGTAACACAAATTATGTTAAATCGTACCGTCCCAATTAGCAGAACCTGGATTACAAGGGCACAGCATGCCTCTATAAGCAGTTCGTTTCTTTATCATTTTTGGGCTCCAGACAAGGTTTCCAGGGCGAGAATTCCTCGACATAAAATTTCATTCAAGAAATCAAAATGCAGGAAAATTTTGTGGCGGAAGTCAAGAAAAGACTGGTGGCAAACTTGGCAACTTATTTCAGGGACCACTTTATGAACTAACTTTGCTATTATCCTCTACATTAATTCACACCCCTGTATACAGATACATTGCAATTACTGTGGTGTAGTAGACGCGTAAAATTTTAATGTTGAACGATAGATAGACAGACAGACAGACAGACAGACAGACAGAGAGAGAGAGAGAGAGAGAGAGAGAGAGAGAGAGAGAGGGGGGGGGGGTATCTATTTAAGTCAGTATATACGGTTGAGTGAATTAACATTTCTTATATCGTCTTCTGTAGATAAACTGTTACTGCTATATACTGAACAAAAAAAGCAAGGTAACACTACTTTATTCTGTGATTAATTAATTAACCCCTTCAAAAATCCTTACCAATCATGTACGAATAAAGTAATTGATCAATTCTGATAAAACTGCAGTCATGGTTCGTTATAAAACTTTGCGTTCAGTTATTTTATTCGACTGTAAAGGACGTTCGGGTCAATTTCAAAGGTAACACCATTAGTAACGGGTATGGCCACCGTTTGCGAAGTAAACAGCATTGCAGCGTCGTCGCATGGAACTCGTAAACCGGCGGATAATTCGAGGAGAGATGTTGTTCCATTCAGCGATCAAGGCTTGGGCTAGCTCCTGCAAGTTTGACGGCTGATTTTGACGTTCTCTCACGCGTCGCCCAAGAACGTCCCAGACATGCTCAATCGATGACAAATCAGGTGATTTAGATAGCCAATCTAACACCTGTGCGTTATCCTGTTGAAAAATGGCGCCAACGCCATGGCGTCTTAAGAATGGCAGAACCACTGGTCTTAAAATTTCGTCCCGATATCGAATGCCGGTTAAATTGACATTTAACACAACAAGCGTGGTACGAGTCCCCCCACAAATACCACCCGAAACCATTACACTTCCGCCGCCAAAGCGGTCCCGTTCTGCGACGCAGCAGTTCGCAAAACGCTCCCCTCGTCGCCTCCACACTCTGCGCCTTCCGTCACCGTGTTGCAGACAAAACCTGGACTCATCTGAAAAAAGAACATTGTTCCATTGTCGCAAGGCCCAACGACGGTGAACACGGGTTCAGTTACGCCGATTATTACGGTGACGTCGCAACAAATTGGGTCCAGTGTATGGACGCCGCGCTTTCAATTGGTAGGCCATCAACCTGTTGCGGACTGTTTGGGGAGACACACGACGCCCAAACAATGTCCTTGTAGTCTCTACTGCGGTTACGAATCGATTGCGCAAGTGTATCAATCGTATGCGACCTTTCTTTTTTGTTGAGTATATATATGGGTTAGTTGGTCGATGGAATGGTTGGTTGGTTGGTGGGTTGGTGGTACGTTAGTGGGTTAGTTGGTGGCTGGGTTCTTTGGTAGGCTGGTTAGTTGGTCGGTGGGTTGGTTTGTTGGTTGGATGGTGCGCTGGTGGGTTGGTAGGTTAGTGGGTTAGCTGGATAATTGGTAAGTAGGTAGGTTAGGGAGTTAGTTGGTGGGTGGGATTGGTTGTTGGGTTAGTTTGTAGATTCGAGGGCTAGTTAGCTAGCTGGTTGGTTGGTTGGATGGAAGGCTGTTGGTAGATTAGTGAGTTGGTGGTATTGTTGGTTGGGTTAGTAGGTGAGTTAGTTGTTTGTTGGTTCTTCGGTGGGATTGTTAGCGGGATAGTTGGTGGGTGGGATTGTTATTGGAATAGTTGGTATGTGGGATTGTTAGTGGGATAGTTGGTGGGTGGGATAGTAAGTGGGATAGTTTGTGGGTTGGTTTGTTAGTGGGATAGTTGGTGGGTGGGATAGTTGGTGGGATAGTTGGTGGGTCGGTTTGTTAGTGGGATAGTTGGTGGGTGGGATTGTTAGTGGGATAGTTGGTTTGTTAGTGGAATAGTTGGTAGGTGGGATTGTTAGTGGGATAGTTGGTGGGTTGGTTTATTGGTGGGATAGTTGGTGGGTTGGTTTGTTAGTGGGATAGTTGGTGGTGGGATAGTTGGTGGGTTGGATTGTTGGTGGGATAGCTGGTGGGTGGGATTGTTAGTGGGAATGTTGGTAGGTGGGATAGTTAGTGGGATAGTTGGTGGTTTGGTTTGTTAGTGGGATAGTTGGTGGGTGGGATTGTTAGTGGGATAGCTGGTGGGTTGGTTTGTTAGTGGGATAGTTGGTGGATGGGATTGTTAGTCGGATAGTTGGTGGGTTGGTTTGTTGGTGGGATAGTTGGTGGGTGGGATTGTTAGTGGGATAGTTGGTAGGTGGGATTGTTAGTGGGATAGTTGGTGGGTTGGTGTGTTGATGGGATAGCTGGTGGGTGGGATTGGTAGTGGGAAAGATGGTGGGTTGGTTTGTTAGTGGGATAGTTGGTGGGTGGGTTTGTTAGTGGGAAAGATGGTGGGTTAGTTGTTGGTGTATAGTTGGTGGGTGGGATTATTAGTGGGAAAGTTGTTCGGTGGGATAGTTAGTGGGATAGTTGGTGGTTTGGTTTGTTAGTGGGATAGTTGGTGGGTGGGATTGTTAGTGGGATAGCTGGTGGGTTGGTTTGTTAGTGGGATAGTTGGTGGGTGGGATTGTTAGTCGGATAGTTGGTGGGTGGGATTGTTAGTGGGATAGTTGGTGGGTTGGTTTTTTGATGGGATAGCTGGTGGGTGGGATTGTTAGTGGGAAAGATGGTGGGTTGGTTTGTTGGTTGGATAGTTGGTGGGTGGGTTTGTTAGTGGGAAAGATGGTGGGTTAGTTGTTGGTGGATAGTTGGTGGGTGGGATTGTTAGTGGGATAGTTGGTAGGTGGGATTGTTAGTGGGATAGTTGGTGGGTTGGTTTGTTGATGGGATAGCTGGTGGGTGGGATTGTTAGTGGGAAAGATGGTGGGTTGGTTTGTTGGTTGGATAGTTGGTGGGTGGGTTTGTTAGTGGGAAAGATGGTGGGTTAGTTGTTGGTGGATAGTTGGTGGGTGGGATTGTTAGTGGGATAGTTGGTAGGTGGGATTGTTAGTGGGATAGTTGGTGGGTTGGTTTGTTGATGGGATAGCTGGTGGGTGGGATTGTTAGTGGGAAAGATGGTGGGTTGGTTTGTTGGTGGGATAGTTGGTGGGTGGGTTTGTTAGTGGGAAAGATGGTGGGTTGGTTGTTGGTGGATAGTTGGTGGGTGGGATTATTAGTGGGAAAGTTGGTGGGTGGGATAGTTAGTGGGATAGTTGGTGGTTTGGTTTGTTAGTGGGATAGTTGGTGGGTGGGATTGTTAGTTGGATAGCTGGTGGGTTGGTTTGTTAGTGGGATAGTTGGTGGGTGGGATTGTTAGTCGGATAGTTGGTGGGTTGGTTTGTTGGTGGGATAG